CTTTCATCATGCATAATGCCCAAATTATCAGCCATAATAAACTTGTCGGATTCACAATCGAATCAGTCAAACTAAATATCAACTGTGCGTAAAATCAGTGGACGAAAAGTTTCAAAATCGAGCTTGCAGACGTCAGTTATAATAATCTATGTTCCATGTATTTTAATATGGCGTGCTCGTTTTTAATTTTTCAGCTACTTTTTCGGTCGTATTTTGATCGGTCCGAGCCTTTTAAACGGGAAAATTTATTTCGAAATTTGACCAAACACTGTATTTTTCCGAGTCGTTTATTTCGCGTTGATCACTTTAGTGCATTCATTTTCATTTTTTGAGCATTTTGATACCAGACTATTTATTTGTTTTTAACCGATTTTATTTTTATTTTTAGCTAATAATCACTTTAATTTAATCAAATTTTTAATTTAAGATTAATTAGTTTAAATTTTTTATTATTAATTATGTTTTAATTTAGTTATTTCTTTTTAATAATATATAAATTTATTTTTTATCTATTTGAAATAACACTTAACTATTAAGTTTCATAAAATTATTTTATTTATTTTTATCTATTTTAGTAATCTAGTATTATTGTATATAGCACTGCAGAGACGTACCCTGTTGACTGACTTTAAACTCCTCCTTCCAACACTTCTCACGTTAACCTCACCTCTCTAGGGATGGCAACAGGGCGGGTCGGGGGCGGGTTTAACTATACCCGCACCCGCACCTGCCTCCATGTAACAGACCCGCCCCCGCCCTCAAATCCAATCGGGGGTGAAAATTTACCACCCAGACCCGCCCCCAGTAGAAAACGGGTGCACCCGCCCCGCCCCCACCCGCAAAAAATTATTATTTTTTTAATTATAATAAAAATTAGTAATTTAATTAAAAAATTGATTATTTTAATAAATTAATTAATTATTTAATTAAAATTTTAATTAATAAATGAATATTAACTTGATTTATTTTATTATTTTAATTGCAATAAGAATATTAATAACTTAATTAAAAGTATAATTAATAAATAAATATTAAAATAAATAAAATAAGGAAATCAAAATAAAATATATTATTTGGGACGGGACTGGGGCGGGTGCGGGTGGGTCTTAGTGTCTACCCGCACCCGCACCCGCACCCGTAGTTAAGAACCGGGTTTCACCCGCACCCGCACCCAATTAAATCGGATTTCTCCCGTTAATTTCGGGACGGGCCCGGACGGGTGTGGGCGGACCCGGGTTTGTTTGCCATCCCTACACCTCTCTCTGTCATTTTTGAATTAAAGAAAATAATAAATAAAAGGAAAGAGTGGTTTTTGGAAAAATTGCAATGTCCTGTCATGTTTTTAAACATTTATTTTTAAAATGGCATTGTTTTCAAGTTAAATTCCATAATGTCATACATTAAAAAATTAAAAACTTTTGGCACAAGGGTGCCGCCCTTTTAATGGACGGCAGTGTCTTAATTTATTGAGTGTCGTCCTTCCAATGGAAGACAGTGTCTTAATTAAAACATAAAAAAAAAATCAAATTTGAACATTACCACCTATTAGAAGGACGATAAGTTCCCACCCATTGAAAGGGCGGCACCCTTATGCAAAAAACAATTTTTTTGAAATTGTGACATTTTAGTATATTTGTTAAAAGATATGACATTTTGAAAATAAATTCCTAAAAAGATGGTCGGAATGAAAAAAAATTCAGTTTTTGAAGCCTGAGGGACAGATTCTAAACTTATTTGGCTGCTACTTCATTTTGCACCATCAACCACACCTCACAAAGGACCCTCCGCCTGCATATTTTAAAACTCACGCTTCAGCCTCACTCTTTGGATACACAAAAACCAAAACAAGAAAAAGAGTGGATTGCATAACACGAACACGGGACGGCTGCATCTCGTCTTCACATTATCATCACCATACCACATATCCGTCTGCTATAGTAACATCACATAACTCTCTCACAACTTTTGAAAACACATTACATTTTCATATTTTTTCATACAAAACACCTCACTTTTCTCTTCATTTAAGAACCACTCATACTGCTACTTCGTTTTTCTCATTGGCCAACGATACAACCAAACCGCATACGTCACCCATATAACTCCCAGCCATGCTACCTCTTTGAGATATACCACATAACACCAAATCTTCGTCATAACCTCTCCCCTCAACACTAGAACTAACCATAAACTCACTCATTCCCTCTCAACAACAAAAACACCTACTTCTCCTTTCACTCATCCTCATCTTTCACCTTCCCTTCCTCTTTCATTTCCTCTTCAAACCCTTCCAAAGACCACCCGCGTTTCTCATTCCGATCCGCTTACGTCTCTACTCTACCAAACACTCACGTCAAACACTCATTGTAAGCATCATTCCCATGTTGTGCTTATAATGTATTTTTTCCAAATCTGGTTTTGGTGTGTTGTTTTGTTTCGTTTGAGCATGATTAGGGAGAGTTTCGTTGTTTGGATTTGTGAAGAGAGTACAATTAGGAATGCTGTTGAAATAAATTTTTGTTTTATTCAAGTTTTATCTTAGTTTAGTTTTATTATTTATTATTTTTCTAAAATAAGACATGATGCTGAGAGAGGGAAATGAGAGGCAAGGTTGTTAAGTGTGGGTTTAGTGTCTTGATGTATTTTGGGCCTTAAGCCCATTCGTACTGATTTTACACATGCACAAGCCACTCCTGCACCCTCCCTTTTGATTCAGGTGAGGCTAATGGGCCTGGAATATAGGCCCTAATCCAGGATTCACTATTTGCACATCATTAACCATTTACACCTCCCATTTTACATTTTATTTTTTAGTTATTTACTTTTTAATAATTTTTATTTTTTATTTGTATATTTTAAAAAAGACCAAAAAAAAAAAATTTAATCATTTATTTTTAATATTTTCATTTCTAGTTTAATTAGTTATTTGTTAAATATTAAAAAATATCAAAAAAAAAAAAAAATAGTATTTCTAACTTTTGATTTCTAGCCAATTACTTCCCTTACAATTAATTCTTAATACTTTTCCTCGATTAATACATGATGCTTTGACATGTGTACGTTGTTGATTCTATTTTTCGTTTTGTTCTACATGATGTTTTGCCATGTACTTTGTTCATTCCATTTGTTGTTTAATCATACCTTGTTGATTGATGATTACATGATGCTTTGCTGTGTACTCTATTGATTCTATTTGTTGTTTTGTCGCCATGATGCTTTGCCATGGGTATTTTGTCGATTCTATTTGTCGTTTTATCATACATTATGTTTTGTCATGTGTCTGTGAATTTCATTTATTACTTGCACTTGTGACCCAATCCAAGGAAAGAGAGTATGTGTTGGCTTATTGTCATGTGCATGTCCATTGTATGTTTGTTGCTTTGCCTTGCCCATCTTTCACCTTTAACAAACAACTTTTAGCCAAAACATAAATATTTCAAGAGGTTCTTATAGAGTAGTGCAGATGCTTAGGGTGCTAGTACATTCCCTTAGTATAACCAACCCTCGTACCTTTGATCTCTCTTAGTATAACAAACAACTTTGCATGTTTTTTGGATTTTGCTCGATCTTTTCTCCCATCCCTTAGATAAATAAAAGTTCGGTGGAGACATCTTTGTTTTGCGAGTCAAGCTAGTCAATAGGTTTGCTCTTCGATTCTCACCGCGACAGCGGTTCTTAATATGATGATTAAGTGGTGATTCTTGATACTTTGATCAAGTGGTGGTGCTTAATATGTTGATGAAATGGAAATCAAGTGATGGAGATTGAAGAATCAAGATGACCAAGTTGTGTTGATAAGTTGCAGTTGAAGTGTCTGAAGATCATCTGATAGAGTGATCAAGTGAATATGCTTGGAAATCAAGTTGTAATGATTGAGTCATGCAGATTAAGATGTGTTAATCAAGTTGTGGTGAACAAGTTTAGGATGCTTTAAGATCAAGTTATCAAAGCCTATATGCGAAAAACAACATCTTATGTAAAGCAGTGTCCAGTGAAGTCAACGAAGATTTATGATCAAACGGTTTGTCTAATGATGATGGTTATCCTAAAGAGCATCTCAAGCGTCATCAGAAAAAGATTCAAAGCTCCAGTAAAGTGACTAAAGTCAAAGATGTGGTAAGAAACCGGAAATTTCAGAGTTGTGAAAGAGAAGAAGTGTGAAAGTTCGTTGAGTCTAGGTCGAGTGACCAATGTCTGTAAATGCATAAGACTAACTCTTGACTGTATTATGACAAATCACACACACTTTTAACCCTTTGAAAAGCATCTCCATTTCTATGAAAATCACCAGAAATGTTTTTGTGTCTAGCTATTTGGCTAAGGACTTTGAAAAACATATCTAATTCTATGAAAATCACCAACATAAGTTTTTGTGCTTAGATAATTGGCTAAGAACCTAAAAAATTACTTTTGAAGGATTTTTGTATGAAATAATCGATTAATCTTTAGAAATAATCGACTATTTCTTTTATAACGCCTATATAATCAACTATTAAAGTTAATAGTCAATTATGCAACACCTCTTTCAAAACCTTCCTTTTATTTATTTATTTCATAATCAACTAATGGATGTGCATATTCGATCAGCTTTAAAAATATATTAATTGCTTTCATGTTTGAGATCCTTTTGTCCTATTTTCTTCAAACTTCTAAATCTTTTGACATAGTGACTTTAAAATCCTATGTAAGAACTTCACAATTTCAGGCGAATTTTATGCTATAAGCCTATAACAAGGTAGTCATAATATATTGTAGTGGGAAAGGTATATAAAAAATAGAATATACTCTTTCAAATGACATAGACAGGGTTAGTTAAAAAAGAATGGCATAAGCCGGCCGGCAATTAGGCTAGCCGGCGGCACATATTCATACACTATAAGACATCTAACATAAAACAAACTGTGACTAAGCTCAAGCTTATAAAATAGTATCAAAAGATATAACCTAAACAACAACCCTATAAAACTTCTTTAACCTCATTGTGGAACCATAATCAAGCAATGGAGAAACTTATTACAAGTTGTTGGTCAGATTTTCAATCTGTCCCCCATGACTACATATTTCCACCAGAAACAAGACCAGGGAATCTCAAAATCCCATTCAACAGCAGCATCCCAGTGATTGATCTCAGTGGTGATAGAACAAATGCAATTCAAAAAATGATCAAAGCTGCTCAGGAGTTTGGATTCTTCCAGGTTCACAGTTCACACCATTTTCTTTTTGCTTTGTGTTTTTCAAGTTAATAGTACTACTTATTCATCCATAAAATTAAACGTGTTTGAATTGAATCAGGTTATCAATCACGGAGTCTCGGTGAATCAAATGAATGAAACAATGAATGTTTTCAGTGAAGTGTTTAAGATGCCTGATGAGTACAAGAAAAACCTCTTTTCAAATGATCCTTCCAAGCCATGTAAGATGTTTACTAGCAGTATCAACTATGACAGCGAAAAGGTTCATCTATGGAGAGACAATCTTAGACACCAATGTTATCCTTTGGAGAAGTGGCAACACTTATGGCCTGAAAATCCAACTAATTACAGGTAAACTACTATCTGACACTCACAGACACCTGACACGATACAAATAGTACACCTGTCACATATTGACACGACCTCATGATCCGTCTCTAATAAGACTTATTTTTTTTTGGCAGAGAGTATGTTGGAGATTTCTCAACCGAAGTTAAAAAACTAGGTTCGAGGATCATGAATTTGATCGGCGAAGGGCTTGGTCTAAAATACGGATATTTTGACAATGATCTTACGGGGTCAATTCTTTTATCGGTTAATCATTATCCACCATGTCCTGAACCAAATTTAACACTAGGAATCACCAAACACTCAGATCCTAATCTCATCACGATTTTACTTCAAGATGATGTATCTGGTCTTCAAGTATTCAAAGATGAAGAGTGGATTGCTGTTGAAGCTATTCCTCAAGCTTTTGTCATAAATGTAGGCTACCAGTTGCAGATAATCAGTAATGGGAAGCTAAAGAGTGCTGAGCATCGGGTTGTGACAAATTCAGGTCATGCTCGTACAACTGCTGCATTTTTCTTAGCTCCTTCAGATAATTGTAATGTAGGGCCAGCAGAAGATATCACTGATGAACACAATCCACCAATTTTCAAGTCTTTCAAATATAAGGAGTTCAACTCACACTACTTTAACAAATATGGTGATACAGATGTGGTGCTAAAATCATTTGAGACACCACGGAATTAAGAGAAATAATGTAGTTGAGAAGGAATAACGTGTTGATTAAATAAGTGCAAAGTGTTGGATATCTGAAAACAACATTTATTTCTATTTCTGTATTGATGTAAACAAATAGTTGAATTTATATATCAACCATTTCTATAAAGAAAAAAAAAAATAGTGTTGTATTTATGGTGCAATGTTCGCACACTTTTAGTATTTGTAATTATGATTAAGGCTTTTCTTACAACAAAATATAGTTGATAACATAAATGAAGTTAGTGCCATAACAAAAAAAAAAAAAAATTGACAAAATTTTTGATGATCTGATTCAAAGTTTTGCAGGTTCTACTTCATAAATTTTAGGTTTAATTATAATTTTGGCTTTTATAGTTTATCTTATTTATATAATTAGTTCTCCGATTTTAAATTTAAAATGTTTTGATCTCTTTTCTCATATTTTCACATTAAAATTATTTTTAATAACGTGCAACTTATATTTTTAATTTTTAAGGTTACACAATTTTTTTTTCTTCTCAATCTCTTGTTTTTAAAAATTGATGTCGTATATATTTTTGTAATGATGTATAAGTTATAAAAAAAATTTTAATCTTTAAAGTGTTATAATTGTTCCTATATGATGATTTGTTATGTTTTACATATGACACAACAAAAATAATCAAGTTTTATCTTATTAAGTAGAGTTGATTACATATATTAACTTTTGTCATAATGTTCAGTCCAGTACCATACTTCTATCCAAATCGTTAATCTTGAAGTTGTTCTTTATAACATCTCTTAGGGTCTGTTTGGTTCAAATGAGGGGGAGGGGAGGGGAGGGATTTTAATGAAGGGGAGGGGAGGGGAGGGGAGGTGAAGGAATTTTTTAATCAAATAAGTGTTTGGTTCAAAAGAGAGGAGGGGAGGGGAGGGGAGGGATTTTAATTAAAAATGTGTTTGGTTCAGAAGGGGAGGGGAGGGGTTTTATTAATAATTTACAGTTTTATCCTTATGATCTTATATAAGTCATACGATATTAAAATGTGAAAAATTCGTGCGTATTTTTGTTGGTAATGAAATTTCTAATATTGAGCGATTAAAAAAATATTTATTTGTCACATAAAGTTAAAAAATTGAGTATAATTGATTCGACTTATAACTTTCCAACATAAATTAAACTATATGCCAATAACATCGTTTAAATTATGATGAATCATATAACAAAACAAATATATAAAATAACTTATTACTAAATATTAATGGTTCAAAATATTTAATAAAATGAATAAACAAAAATAAATAAAATGATATGGTTTACAATTTGATATAAAAGAAAATATGATAGAGTACATAACAAAATTAAAAGAAAAAAACGAATATAACGAAACATAATTTTTTTATAAAAAAAAGACAATGATTATAATTTATATTAATTATAAAAATCATAAAATAATTTGAAGGTGGAGAACAATTATAATAATTTGATGAAAACAATCAAGAAAAAACAGTAACACAAAAGATAACAAATAGTTTTGAAATAATAAAATTAAACTGAGGATATTTTAGTAAATATAATAAATTTTAAATATTAAAACTCATATTCCCTCCCCTCCCCTCCAAATCCCCCCAATTCAGAGGGAACCAAAAAATGTGTTTTGGAGGGATTTTGCTCCCCTCCCCTCCTAAAATTTGAACCAAACATATTTAATTAAAAATTTCCCTTCCCCTCCCCTCCATCTACCCCGAACCAAACACACCCTTATAGTCTTTCTAGGTCTTCTTCTTCATCTAATTGTTCAACTTCTCTCTACCCGATCAATTCTGCTTACCACAGAATCTACAAGCTTTCTACATGTCAAATCACCTAAAGTCTATTTTCCACCATCTTCTCTACTATAGGTGTTACCCCAACCACCATCTTCTCTACTGTAGGTGCTACCCCAACCACCATCTTCTCTACTATAGGTGCTACCCCAATACTTTTTAATATTTTCATTTCTAATCCTATCCAGTTTAATCTTACCACGCATTCAATGCAACATCCTCATATTTGTTACACTTACTTTATTCTCATGTTGATTTTTGACCCTCAAACATTCTGTCTCGTACAACATCACATGTCTTACCGTAGTCCAATAAAATTTTCCCTTTAGTTTGAAAAGTATCGTGGCATCACATAAAATCCCTAAAGCCCTCCTCCATTTTGATCACCTAACTTGAATTTGATGATTTACATCTACTTATATTTCTCCATCATTTTGTATTACAGACTCAATATATTTAAATAGTGTAACTTGAGGGATGATTGAGTTTCCAACTTTCACCTCTAGGTTAGAAACACTTATTCTTTAGTTAAACTTACATTCCATATACATTGTTTTACTTCAACTTAGGTGAAAAATCCTATTGGAGGTTAAGGGAAACATCTCCACCCTTTCATGAATTAGGCAATCTTAGATGAACAATCTCTCCACTTACCTTATAAATCCAGAAAATCAGCAAAAGCAAACTCCTATAGATTCCTTCTCTCAAGTCGTAGCTCTCCCTTTCAAGGCTCTTGCTCTCTATTTCACGTACTAAAAAACAGGCTCCACAACCCTATTTCTCTAATTTTCAAAATATATAATATTATCTTCATCTTTTCAAAAAATTAAAGAAGTTGGCTAAAAATGTAATGAAGGATTCTGCCATAGAAGGAACAAAATTGATCACATATGCTCTAAGGGAGAAAGCTTTGGAAAATCCTTTTGAAGCTGAAACTCTGAAGGAGTAAGCTCTGCAAGTAGAGGCTACTGCCGAAGCTATTTTGAAGCGTGAGTGCATTTCCTAGTAGTATATTTTGATTGAAGTCAAAACCAGGACACTTAGTGTTTCTGTACATTGGACGATATCCTATCAATCTTTCATTTTCATGATCAGGAGTGCGTAATCACCCTTATTTGTTTAAAATCATGTACTAAGTCAAAAATGAGTTTTATGCATCTGTTTAAAATCATTTACTAAGTCAAAAACAAGGTTTTGGGTCAAAAAAGAGTTTTATGCATCAACTCATAAAATGCTACAGGTAGGTGCATGGAATTTTCCATTCAGCATGCATCAACTCATAGATGCAGCAGGTAGATGCATAAAATTTTCCATTCAGCATGCATCAACTCATAAGTAGGTGCACAAAATTTTAAATTCGGAATGCATTGACTCATAGAGTTATAGGTTGATGCATGGGTAGGTGCATAAAGACACAATTTTTAAAAGAATGCTCACTATCCTCTATGTGTCGACGCATAGAGTTATATGATCAACTCATAGCTCAATTTCGTTAAAAAATGTTGGTTTTTCTTGCACGAAGTTTCTGTTACATTACCACTTTCACACACACACACACACACACACACACACACACACACACACTCACACACACACACACACACACACACACACACACACACAACACACAACACACACACACACACGCGCGCGCGCGCGCACACACACACACACACACACACAAATACATTCATGCATCATATTTCAAATTATTGAAACCTGAAAGATACAAAGATTGCTCTTCATCTTCATTTTTCTTCATATCATTCATTCAACATTCACACATAATAATTCTTGTTGAGTGATCTTGATTGAGAGTGATAACATTTAATTTATGATTTCTAAAATATAAATTGGTTTGAGAATTATTCGGGGTTTCAAGAATAAAACCTTTAGAGTTTTTACTTTAAGATCAAGGGTTGATTTGGAGGTTTTTGCACAAGTTTTTCCATTTGGATTTGACCGAGTGAAAGCTTTAAAGAACGAGGATTTTTCAAAGGAGTAGCGGTTATCGAAGGATCTATTGAAAGGCTTAGGGCAGGATTTTACGATTTTGATTCAGTCGAGTGAAAAGCTTTGATGAACGATGGTTCCGTCAAAGGAGTAGAGGTAACCGGAGGATAAAATTAGAAATCTTGTGTGACTTGATATAGCTAAGATCAAGGGGAGATAAGGGGCTAAGATCAACATCAAACATAGGGTTTGGAGGTTTGAATTTCTACTACTTCTCTTATAAGCTGATAAAGGTTAACTAAAATATCTCAATTCAATTTCGAATTGAGGACAGACGTACCCATTGTGAAGACAATTGGGGAACTGCCTAAACAAATCTTGGCGTTCTCTCTCTCTCTCTCTCTCTCTCTCTCTCTCTCTATATATATATATATATATATATATATATATATATATATATATATATATATATATATATATATATATATATATATATATATATATATATATATATATATATATATATATATATATATATATATATATATATATATATATATATATATATATATATATATATCTATCTATCTATCTATCTATCTATCTATCTATCTATCTATCTATCTATCTATCTATCTATCTATCTATCTATCTATTTATATATCTATCTACCTATCTATCTATCTATTTATCTATCTATCTCTCTCTACACGGACACAGACACAGACACACACACACACACACACACATCTAGTGCGTAATTCAAATTGTTGAAAAATTTTAGTTTTGTTGAAGTGATTAAAATTGTTTTTGTGAAACCATTTCAATCTAAATAATTGTAATTGATTTGTTACATATTCAATACAAAGATGATTAAGCTTGGTGTATTGTACATAAAGTGTTTTATATTTTGACTACATACTTAGTGTTTGTTCAAATTCCTTAGTCATGTTTTATTTTACTTCTCATTGGAAATAATTTACTTTAGTGTGGTTTATATTTAGAAAAATTATATTGAACTTGTTTGTTTGTTTTTTTCATCTTTAGCATTTACTTTACTACGGTTTGTACGCATTCGTATAGACGAGAGACGATCCGAATTCGCTTCAGCTTGCAATAAAACATTATTTTTTTTAAATATAATTTTAATTTATAAATTTTTATTTGCCGATCTATTTAACTCCCCCCTCCTTCTAGATTGTAGTCCTCGTCTAGCAAGTGGTATCACGAGTACCATTTTACTTGTGCTT